TTCAAAAGAAGTGTTACTTGCCATCCATATTTAACAGTATTCATCTATTTTATTTTATTTTAATTTATAGCCCACCTTTCTTGCTCAGACTCAAGGAAGATTACAAAATAGAAACCCAATTTAATCAGACAGTTCGAGACTTCAAGTAAACAATGTAGTAAGTCTAGGATTACAGATCTGGAAAACAGTACAGATAAACAAACAGAAAGAAAAACCCTACCTAAAGCATTGCATACCATAATGCTGAATGAGGGTTACAAATGTAGAAGACAAAAGCAGTAAAATTAACATTTCAATAGACTACAGTCCTGTTCCCTCATAAATATGACCTCCTGAGTTGTTACATTTTAATCTCTTTGTAAAAATGCCCCCCTAAACATTTCTGTTTTGTACATCTTTCAAAATTATAACAGTTGGAGGACTTCCTCCCCTCCTCAGTCAGGCCATTCCACAACGTGGGAACCACCACAGAGAATGCATGTGAATGGGCAGTTGCCAATCTTACCCATTTGTAGATAATGGTACACAGTAGCTTGTTATTCCATATTTACAATCTTTTATTTTATTTCATATTTTCTTAAGAGAATAGTGAAATTAATTCCAACCGTGGGCTCATTATATGAATGGTTGTATTTACATCAGGGCCACAGTGGCTCAGAAGTTAAGACGTTGAACTGCAGACTGGAACGTCAGTAGCTTGGCAGTTCGAAACCTGAGTGCCACGTGACGGAGTGAGCTCCCGTCTCTGGCCCCAGCTCCTGCCAACCTAGCAGTTCAAAAGCAAGAAATTGTAAGTAGATAAATAGGTACTGCTTCGGTGGGAAGGTAACAGCATTCCGTGTGCCTTGGCATTTAGTCATGTGAGCCACATGACCATGGAAAAGTCTTCAGACAGCACTGGCTCTTCAGTTTGAAAATGGAGATGAGCACCACCCCCTAGAGTCAGATTCGATTGGCTTTCGAGCAAGGGAAACCTTTACCTTTACCTTGTATTTACATCAGTGAGAAGTAGCCATAAGAAATCTTTGCATCCATGAAACACTTTAACTGCCAGCACTTCTCAACAGAAAATAATCAAGACAAAAGCCAAACAAGGTCTGTCAGTGAATGATCAAAATAGAGAAACTGCTTGTTTTGTTTAGCTTGGTGATGCAAGATGTCTTTATAAAGGACACTGGATGTTGTCATCCTCTGTGAGATTACAGTTTTACAGGTTTCTGCAAAGTCAGGAGGTTGCTAGCTGCTCTTAACACTTTTCAAAAAGTTTGCCACATTTGCCTTTGATCTGTTGGTCAAATGCTAGAATGAATGTACTTCTCTACCCTATATCCCCTTTCCCGTCTAAACACACACCTATACACAGGTTTTGGATTTTGTTGTTGTTGTTATTATTTACGGCACACATTTTGGAGCCAAAAGGTAGGCTAACAAGAATGTTGGTACGTGCAGTCAAAATGTAGATCCTTCTTCTGGGTCTCTGACCAACATGGTTGATACACATTTGTTTACCTGTTGTAGTTGCAAGTTGTTCAGGCTGACATTGCCACAATTGACAGTGATGCTGTCGTTCACCCGACAAACTCTGACTTCTACATCGGTGGTGAAGTAGGTAATGGAGAGTTCAGTGCTGCAGAGTTTGTATGTGTATGCATGACCAATCAGCAACAACAAGCTTGCCCCTGCTCTGCAGATTCCGCATTCTTTTCTCACTTCCAGCAGTCCTGCCAGTGTTAAATGTAGTAAGTACCAAATTGAACAAGTGCGAAATGTCTCTATAATTAGAATCTTTATTGAACAAACAATTAATGCAATTTATTGGAACCCCTGTTTTGTACTGTAATCAGTGCACTAGCACAGAAACAGTTTAACATATGGTGCCAACAAAAATGCAAAGGCCAAAGAAGAAATCAAAATATTGTTGGTTCCCTAGGCTGTGCTTCAGAGTTCCCTGTCACCCAGCGTTGTGTTCTTAGAAGAGGAGGGAATCCCTTAACTAAATCTCTTAACTAAATTTGCAGTAACCTCATCAGACTTTAATTTCCAGAATCCTTTGGGGAACATCAGACATTTATATTGGTATAAAACCGAACTGTATACCATGACACACACACACACATGTTTTATTCAAAGGCCTTATTTTTTTAAGGTCTAAATTGGAATAAACCTAGACATTCTGCAACAATCTCATATCCTAGCTTTTTGTCATGCTTAGGCTACTTGCCCGTAATAGATAAAGCTGCTGGCTTGATAGCTTATTTAGTTAATTTGATGGCAACAAGGATACACCAGTTTTAGTGTGAATTTGCCAGACTGCATAGCTTTTTGTCTTGATTCCATGTTTATATCTTTAGCTACAGGGAGCAGTCACTGTACATGATCATTTTATGGGTGCTTAGCCTCAGACATTATACCATGATGCAAAGTAACAAATGAAATTGGTCTAATTTTATAATAATTAATACATTGATAGCAAATAGAAACTGAGGGTTGCACCAGTCATTTAAGTGTGGTTCAAGGGATAAAGCCCATTGAGAATCAGATTAGATCTATTAGATCAGATTAGAGCTATTGCATGTGCTTCCAAGTCCTCAGCCCTCGTCCACATATCACAGCCATCTACCGAATACCAACTGAACACAGTTCACACAACAGTTGTGTCACAAACACAAGAATTAAAATTTAAAAAGCATGCTGAGGAAATAACTCAAGCAGATGAGCCTAGCTACAGACTACTTGTCAGGTTGTACATATAACACATATGTGTAGCATATTCAGAAACTAAAAAGAAGATATGGTCCCTGAGAAACTGGTCCTAAGAACCATTAACGACTCCCTGCTGGAAAGCTCAAACACAAACAAAGCAAAGATCACAAGAAAACAAACCAGCATATACTACAGGTTGAGTCACATATATGTAGTACTATTGTTCCCTTTGTTCAGCTGGGAAATGAGCATGAAGCCTATTAATCACTTGCAAAGTGAAAGGCTGCAGTCCTGTGTCCACATATGCACCCTCTACTTAACATGTATTAATTCTTGTACATCACACAAACACAGGGCAGAAAACTGGCAGAAAATTACCAGTTGGTGTGGGGGTTGCAGCTGGCCCATTCTGCACATTGAGCTACTCCAAGAATAAGCTCAAGTGCCTCATTGCCACCATGATGGCATATGGGACTCCTAGCCCAAGCCTGATGGTAACTTTAGAAAACATGCACTTTTTCGTTAGCCTGCTATAGCCACTTCCTACATTACTGTACCTCAAGTGTCTTCTGAAGACCTGAATAACATGGAATGTGGACATAACTGATTTATGTAGGATTGCACAAGGAACAAGCTACATTCTGTCCCATAAAATAATGTTTGTAAAATCTGCAAAGATATATTAACCCTGTGAGGAAATGTTTTTAAAGCAAGTCTCAAAATTGTGGGAAAGAAGTGAAACCTGGATTATTTCATTCAGTAGGGTATGGTCTTCTTATTGCCTGTGACTGCTGGAAGAAAGAATAGAAGTGCACACATGCTTAGCTTCAGATGATTAACTTTATCCATATAAAGGCCTTTCTAACAGCCATATATACTGGGGAAATATTTTGAAAACTGTTCACACCTGGATTTATGCCTAGGCTGTTGTTACCACTATACCAATGCCTGCTTAACAGCATGAAATTATGACTTTGTTCTGTGGGAGTAACATATATATGTATGCCTGCAAGCAAGGAGCCACTAACCTGAAAGCTGTGGAGCAAAATATGAATGAAAGCTCCTGCTAACATGATATAAAGAGCATAGAGCCACAGAGTTTCATTTCTTAGGTACAGCTAGCCATACTGTTGTACACAACTGTGATGCTCCTGTTATGTTAAAGCCACACTTGTCAATTTGAAACAACTTGTCAATTTGGAACAAGAATATCAGCCAGGGCCAGTCAGTACTGGTGTACTATAAAAAAGGCAGCAAATGACAATTGTTTAGTTTATTATTACATTTTTACTTCTTGGAGACACCAAAGTCTTGAGCATCTCTAATATACAATAACAAATATGCCAGGGATTGTTAGTTAAGGGAAGGAAAAAGGAAAATGAGACTTGTAGCATCCCAAAGACTCCCAAATTTATTGTAGTTTTTGTGAGCCAAGTGCATATCAGAGCACAAAAAATGCATAATTTAAGAATTAAAGTTAAGCTAGACAAGAAAAGAGGAAACCTTAAGAAATATATGTAAAGCTCATGTGAAATTTTAATAGAGTTCAAAGCAAAATGAAATGTAACCCCTAAAATCATTTTACATTTTTGGAATGGTTTCATAGCATGAGTGCCTATGAAACTTTTTTCTTGGGCAATTTGGTATTCTTTTTACCAGAATGTACCGAGACATCCTGGCTAAGGCAATATAGTTGCCCCCTTCCTGGTTGACTTGGAGTCAGATTAATCAAATAAATTAGATTCCCTAATTGTCACTGTCCCTGTAGAGATTATCTTCAGTTGCTGTGGAGATACTTAAAATATTTTGACAATGTGAACACATTTAAAACATATCACCTAGATTCTGATCTTCTTCAAGAAACTTACTTTCATGGCTGCCAGGCAACTGAACAGGCAGTTCAGGTTTAAAAATGTGATAACATAATGTGCCCTTGGACTATTCACTGGGGTGTTTGAGGTTACCACTGTGAATACTTTAATCTCTAAAATACAACCCATTTTCTGGACAGGGACAAAACCTATACTGTCAGCCAATTATCTATAAAGAGAATATAATAAATCACTTAGCTGAAGCCTATTTCATATCCCTTACATGGAAAGATAAATTTTTAGAACTCTGCCAAGGTCAATCTATGATGTCGTTCTTAAATAGCTCTAATATACAGCACATCAAGTAGAAATATATTTCACTGCATGTAATGTGTACTTTCATCAGAAACTGCAGTCCCCCTCCTCATCCTTAAAATGAAATAATTTCATAAAGTATGGCAGTATTTCGATTTTAAATACCTACAGCCCAATTTAAATACCTACAGTTAAGTCTCAGTGAGTTTGCTGGGGTGTATTCCCAGGTAAGCATGCATAGGATCACAGCCATAGGCTATCATCCTCAGCACACACTTACTTTGAAGGGAAGTTCCATTGAAATAGGTGTGACTTGCTTTCTAAGTAAATGTATTTATGGTTCAGCTGCAGGAATCAGCTTGTCAATTACACTTTTTATAATCCAGAATCAGTCCAGTATCAATGTCACTGTTTCCTTGCCTCGCTACTTGTATAGTTGTCAAGCAAAATGCAATGTGATTTGAGTGTTTAATTAGGAATAAACTTTTTGGGCTACATTTTTGCATTAATATAAAGCTGCAAAATAAGATCTAAACCATTCGTGGTGGACTGCCTTGATGTCAACCGAAAGCCGTAATTTATGTCGTGTAGCTCCTGTCCTCCCAGAGCAGCATTGTTAAGCTTCTTTAGCTGCAGTTAAGCAGTTCAGTGGAGGAATATGTTCCTTAGAGAATCTACTTATTTCTGAGGCTCTTCCTCTTGGTTAAAGGTGGTTCAACAAGTTGGGCAGTTGTCAAGTAAAGCAGCCCGCTGCACTCACAAGACTGTTTCACTCCCGGGGGCCAACTGTTGGGGTCAGGGATGAAGATGAGGTGAGTTTCAAGTTCTTCTTATGACAAATTTGTCTTTAAAGCAATCTGTAACAGAAGAGGGTTCTCATCCCATAAGGGAAAGAGTTCATGCATCAAACAAATGCCATTGAATTTGTGTGTGCACTGGAACTACATCTACTACATGGTGAGAGAAAGCAGCTAGAAATGTCACTGCCCTGCTGGTTGACATTGAGAATTGCATCACGAAACATTTTCAGACAGAATAAAACCATTATGGGAGGGTGACCTTTTAAAAAATTAGAGCCAGTCGTTACTTCTGGACTAGTCCCCAAAGGTTTAGATCTTACTTTGCAGTCCCCAAAAATTTGGTTGGAGAAATCTGTAACGTGATTATCTGAAGTGTTGGGTGCCTTTCTGGATGTGGAACAGTCACAACTCTGTCCCTGCACAGGAAGCACATTGGAGAAGAAAGGCGGAAAAGAATTCGTGGAGGCTGTTGTTGAGCTTCGCAAAAAGAATGGGCCGTTGGACACAGCAGGAGGTGCCGTTTAAATCCTTGAAAAATAGGCAGATCAAAAGTCTGTGTGTATTAGAAATTTCAGATGGTGTGATTGAAATTCATTATTCTAAAGATTTTTAAAGACTTCACTTTTATTTATATTATTTATAGTCCATCTTTTTCACTGAGCTTTAAAGTCAATGCAGTTAACAGCATTGGGAACCCAATAAATTATTGGGATTGCAGAAATCTGAAACAAGCTGAAACAAAAGTATTAACACAATATGTTAAACAATGCAGAGATTTCACAGTAGCATATATACAGCAGTAGATGGTCCATCATCCCTTTTATTAAAGCATCTTCCTGAACCATTCTGTTATCCCCCATGCTATTTAATAACTACATGAAGCTTATGGGAGAGGTCATCAGGAGGTTTTGGCTGAAGTGTCACCAGTATGCAGACCTTTCTTTTCCACCTAATTCCAAGAAAGCTGTTGATATTCTAAACTGGTGCTTGAAGTCAGTAATCGGATGGATGAGGGCAAACAAGCTGAAATTGATTCTTGACAAGACAGAGATGCTCTGGGTTAGTAGAAAGGCAAACCAGAGACTTGAGAACTCCCCTGGATTGGATATACTTCCCTTGAAAAGACAGGGTATGTCTTTTCTCCAGCAGTAATGTTGGATCCACTATAATCCCTAAATTCTTCAGCAAGTCAGAAAAGATCGACTGAACTCTGTCAAAAGTAGGAAGCACAGTGTTCTTCAAGGTCTCCAACATCCCAGTGAGCATTACCTCTGTCTTGTCAGTGTTGTTTTAATTTGTTCATTTTTAGCCATTTAACCACAGCAGATAGGCAGCAATTCAGGATTTCTAGTGCATCACCAGGAGATCTGAATGAGCATACTGATGACAGCCAGCCCCAAACAAGAATGATTTGTCCTAAGGGCTTGAATAGCATGAGGAATAGGAGGTTGAATAGCATGAGGAATAGGATTCTGCACTGCAGAACCCCACAGGACAGGTCCCACACCATGGATGACTGGCCTCCAATGGCAAATCTTTGAGTCCCATCCGTGAGGAATGATTTGAGCCAGTCCAAAACAGGTAACCCCTGATACCTGCTTCTGCCTCCAAATGTCTCGGTGAGATGTCATGGTCTACTGTATCAAAGGCTGCAGATAAGTCCAGTAGGAACCACACAGAAGCATGGCCTTCGCCTACAGTCAGACAAGTATTAGCTAAAGTCATCAGGGTCATCTCTGTTCATTGCCTGGTCTGAAGCCGAACTAAAAAGGGCAAAGAAGATGTGTTATCCAAGAAGACCTGGGGTTGGTCTATTACTGCTTGCTCAGTCACTTTGCCCAGAAAGGGCAAATTAGAGATTGGGCCATAATTGGCCACATCATTTTGCTGTAGGGCTGGTTTTGAAGTAATGGATGGATAACTGCCTCTTTTAGTGGCCAAGTGAAGGTGCCTTAACTTATGGATTGATCTTTAAGATACACACCAAGGGCAGCCAGAATGGACAAGGATCCAGAGCACAAGTAGTGGCCTTCACTGATCCCAGGGTCCTGTCAACATCCATCATAGTAACTGGGTCTAAATGTTCATTTATAGACTGGATGATACATTAGACATTTCATAGAATCATAAAATCATAAAGTTGGAAGGGACCTTCAGGGTCATCTAGTCCAACCCCTTGCACAATGCAGGAATTTTACAAATACCTCCCCCTTCACACCCACAGTGACTGTTGTTCCACTCCCAGAAGATGACCAAAAACATCCAGGTTCCTGACCAAACTGGCCTGGAGAAAAATTGCTTACCAACCCCAAAGTGGCAATCAGCATTTCCCTGGGCATGTAAGAAAGGACCACAAGAACTAAGCACCGAGGCAACCCTTCCTGCCCTCCCTCTCATGATCTGCCGAAGTTCACAGAATCAACATTGCTGTCAGATGGCCATCTAACCTCTGTTTGAAAACCTCCAAAGAAGGAGAGCCCACCACCTCCTAAGGAAGCCTTTTCCACTGAGGAAGTGCTCTAACTGTCAGGAAGTTCTTCCTAATGTTTAGCTGAAAACTCTTCTGATTTAATTTCAACCCATTAGTTCTGGTCCGGTTTCCTGGGGCAACAGAAAACAACTCTGTACCATCCTCTATATGACAGCCCTTCAAGTACTTGAAGATGGTTATCATACCATCTCTCAGTTGTCTCCTCTCCAGGCTAAACATACCCAGCTCATAGGACTTGGTCTCCAGACCCCTCACCATGTTGCCCTCCTCTGGACATGTTCCAGCTTGTCTATATCCTTCTTAAATTGTGGTACCCCAAACTGAACACAATACTCTAGGTGAGGTCTAACCAGAGCAGAGTAAAGCAGTACCATCTCTTCGTGTGATCTGGACACTATACTTCTGTTGATAAAGCCCAAAATTGCATTTGCCTTTTTAGCAACCACATCACACTGCTGACTCATGTTCAGTGTATGATCTACTAAGACCCCTAGATCCTTTTCACACATACTACTGCAAAGACAAGTCTCCCCCAACCTATTTGTGCATTTGATTTTTCCTACCTAAATGCAGAACTTTACATTTATCCCCATCGAAATTCATTAAATGCAGCCCAGTTTTCCAGCCTGTCAAGATCATTCTGTATCCCAGACTCTGTCTTCTACTATATTTGCTACCCCTCCCAATTTAGTATCATGTGCAAATTTAATAAGCATTCCCTCTATCCCTTCATCCAAATCATTGATAAAGATGTTGAACAAAACAGGTTCCTTACAGATCCTTGAGGCACTCTACTTGTCACTCCTCTCCAAGAAGATGAAGAATCATTCACAAGCACTCTTTGGGTGCAATCTCTCAACCAGTTACAGATCCACCTAACAGTCATAGGATCCAAACCACATTTTCCCAATTTGTCAAAAGCCTTATTGAAATCAAGATAAACCATGTCTACAGCATTCCTCTGATCCAGCAAGGTAGTAACTTTCTAAAAAAAAAAAAAAGTGTCAAAAGCCTTATTGAAATTAAGATAAACCATGTCTACAGCATTCCTCTGATCCAGCAAGGTAGTAACTTTCTAAAAAAAAAAAAAAGAGATAAGGTTAGTCTGACATGACTTGTTCTTGAGAAACCCATGCTGGCTCTTAGTAATTACAGCCATCCTTTCTAAATGCTCAAGGACTGCCTGTTTGATTATTTGTTCTAAAACTTTCCCAGATATAGTCAAGCTGACAAGTCAGTAGTTTCCCGGATCCTCCATTTTCCCCTTCTTGAAGATGGGTACCACATTTGCCTGCCTCGACTTCCAGTTTATGAAGCTGCGATGGTGGGCGCTTTCCCCGAGCCGCGGGAGAGCGATCCGCACACCAGCGGCCTGGAGGGGTGCCACCTCAAGTGACACCCCAACGGAGCCTTTGCGATAGGCTCCAGGCCAGGGGGCTTTTGAGGGGTGGCCTCTTCGATGGCATAATGCCAGAGAATTGAGGCTTCCCTCTGCCCTGACGGTCCAGCTGCTGTGTGGCCCTCAGGCACTAACTGGTTTGACCGGGACAAGCACCGGAGATCGAGCAGAATGACGAATAATGAGCGAGGTCAGAGAAACTGACCAACAATGAACGTGAGTTCAAAATAAATCAGATTATTTAAAAGCAAATCCCCCCCTCCGCTGACAAAAGTGGGTGCAAAGAGGGACGCCTCTTATGCGATTGAACTGAAAAGCGATACGAAAGGGGAGAGGGGAGGAAATACAACAAGGGTGTTTTGAGAGACTTACTTGATTTTCGTCATTGTGGGGCAAGTTTTTCGAGTTGTGAAGAAGTGGTAGAAACTGTAAACAAAATGGAAAAAATGGCAGCCCAGCAGAGAAAGCTGAAAATGAAACTGCCAGGCAGTCAGAGCCCGAAACCGGAAGAGGGAGCAGACATCATTAAACTGCTAGTGGACATGCTCAAGCCGGTTATGGAACAACTCCTTATTAACCAGCAATTGACCGTTTGTAAAAGAAATGGAGCTAGCCTACAGGGCATACTCCAATTATATTTTAAAAAATAGCCTGCCTGGAGAAATACTGGTCAGCTTCTCAAGAAGACAAACCAGAGATGCCATCTTAAAAGCGACTTCAGCAACTCCACTGAAAATGGGAAATGTAATCATCAAAACTTTAAAAGACATTCCATTTGAAATTCGACAAAAGAGGAAAAATTATAAGGATTTAATTTCTTTCCTTCAAACTAATGGAATATCGTACAGATGGGCGGTCCCGGAGGGTGTCATCTTTAAGATCAACGATAAAAGAGAGAAGATAGACTCCACCTTTAAAGCCAAAGAGTTTTTGCGGCGTCAGCTGGGAACAGAGGAAGAGTCTAAGGAGGAAGAAACGAAATCTAGTGACTCTGCCACCTCTGGAATGGAAGAGGATTGTCCTGCAGAAAAGGGTACAGGTCTTGCCAGAGTTGTATACGATTTTAGAGACAGAAAGCCGAAGTGAAGGCAGAAGGACTCGGAAAATGGCCTTTTGAAGCAAAGAACAAGATGATCAGAAAGCTCTCTTATAACAACTAACATATTAACACATTTGAAGCTGTGATAAACAAGAACTCTACAAGTATATTGTGATATTAACACTTTTAGTTCTAACACTTATATTAACAGGGATAAGATCTCCTCCTCTTGGGGTTTTAGCATAGTGTGGTTATCTTTCCTTTATCCCTACTTGTAGTTCCCTTCCCAATATTTTTTTTTGTAGTTCTGTAGTCTATTCCAAAATAAAAAATATCCCTTCGGGGTTTTAAAAAAAACAAAAACATTTGCCCGCCTCCAGTCTACTGGCACCTCACCTGTTCTCCAAGAATTCTCCAAAATAATGGACAGAGGCTCAGAAATACATCTGTGAGACCTTTTTAGTACTCTTGGATGCAGCTCATCTGGCCCCGAGGACTTCGTTTCATTTAAAGAAACTAGGTGTTTATGTACTACCCCTATGTCAATCCTAGGCTGCAACTCTGTTCACTCATCATGTGTTCTGTTTTTGCCATATTGAGCACAGTTTCCCTTGCAAGAGAAGACTGAGGAAAAGTAGGAACTGAGCAGTCCTGTTGGTAAGAATCAAGACCAAGATCGCAGATCCCTTTGTTTCCCTCTCCACTTTCTGGAAAATGAAGTTGTCAGCAAGACAAGTCAGGAATTTATTGGACCTTTCATTTTTAGCACAGTTGGACTTCCAACAGATCTCTGGGTAATTGAAATCTCCTATGACCACCATGTCCCATCTCTTTGAGAACTTTGTAATCTGTTCTAGGAGTGTCTCATCCAAATCCTCTGCCTGGCTTGGTGGTCTATAGCATACCCCCACCATGATATCGTATTATTGCTTACTCCTTTTATTTTTACCCAGAGACTCTCAACTGGACTTTCATGCTCCGATTCACGTATTTCCTCACAAGTATATACCTCCGTTACATATAATGCAACTTCTTCCCCCTTCCTTATTTGTCCCTTTTAAATAAGTTATACCCCTCAATCTTAATATTCCAATTGTGAGTGTCATCCCACCAAGTTTCATTAATGCCTATTAGGTCATAGTCCCCTTTCTGTATTAGGACTTCAAGTTCCTTCTGCTTGTTTCCCATACTCTGTGCATTAGTTTAGAGACATCGGAATCCATGTTTTATGCACCCTGAGGTTTTCATTTCTGTACTTACATGTGAGTTAATGTTATCTAGCACACTTGCCACTCCCCGCAAAACTTTAAAGTTCTTATCTCCAGTTATTGGCTTTGCATTTTTGTCTCGCTCCCCCACAGGATTTAGTTTAAATCTCTCCTTATTAGGTTTGCAAGGCTGTTTCCAAACACATTTTTCCTACCCTCATGAGATGCAAACCATCTCCTGATAGAAGAGCTTCATCTCAAAAGTGTAAGCCATGGTCCAAAAATCCAAACCTTTCCTGATGACACCATCTACATAGCCAATCATAGATCTGCAGTATTATTCTTTCCCTTCCTAAGCCATGGCCTTCAACAGGAAGAACTGATGAGAATACAACCTGTGCTCCCAATTCCGTCACCTTTTTACCCAGAGCCTCATAGTCTCTTTTAATGTTCTGGGCTCTGCCAGGCTGTATCATTTGTTCCTCTAAATGACAACCAGCATCCATATGAGAGCATATTTGCAATATTTTGTCAGCTGCAAACAGCTAGTTGTCTGTTCCTGAGACAATAAAGGTTCATATTTAGGAGTCAGCAGATGCCAAGATACCTAAAACACTTGGGATGGTCATGAACTAGCTGAAGCTGTGGTAGCAGAGAAGTGCCATTTCTTTGCTGGTGTCACCACCACTTTATAGATCTTCCCATGAGCTCTATAGCACATTTTGTGAGACTTAGTATGAGTTTTCCACTACTGTCATTCTGGACATCTCCCAGCTCTCTTCAGATCACCCAGGTCTGTGGTAAACCTGAGCTCTGGGTTTTGCCCCAAGGATGAAAGAGGTCAACAATTTATTCCAAATTACCTACCACAGCCTCAACAAAGTAGGTATTTGAAATCCTAAAACTTCCCAGAGCATTCTTGAATCTAGTAGAACCCATGAGCCTCTGTGGGCAAACCATTTCATCTGGCCTCCTTTCCTGTGGGATGTCAGGACCACGTTCACCCTTGCCTTGCCTAAATAGTCATCAGTTATCGATGCCAGGCCATTTGCAAGCCAAGTTCTGCAAGTAATGTGGGTATGTTATACAATTGATGTACTCTGATGGGAGATCTTAAGGCGAGTCCCTTGAACATCGTAGACATCGATATAGTTCCTAGTGTCCCCCATCACCCTAAAACAGACTCCTTTACATAATTAGTGCTGTCACAGATCTGTTCTCTGTTTTTTAGAATATAGGAGTACAAGTCTTCCCACAATGCTAATATTACTGGTCAAAGATTTTAAAAAATGAAATGGCATAGGTCAGCACACAAATGATAGCAGAATGACAGCAAAAAGGTACTCAAATAAAGCAATTCATCACAAATATAATAGTAACACAGCAAATATAGCCAGCTCAGGAGATAATAGCAGAATTAAAATAATAGTTTATGTCAGCCTGAAGGTCAATTTTTGGCAGCAGCCAAATTTACATGCTGACCTGTATTAATCAGACAAGTATAATCTTAAAGATAATCTCTACAAATGTAAATATTGTTACAAATGTATGCATGTGCAGTCATGTTATTTCTTTAGTCAATGGGATTTACACAACAAAAATAACTATGCATTCTTGACTTGTTTCATCACATTTTCACATTTGGACTCTTAACAAAAATCTTCATATAATTGAAGTAATTAAGATGTGCTTTCTGTTTCCATCCAGCTGCTGTCAGTGCAGGCCATGGATTGCCTGCTAAGTTTGTGATCCATTGCAATAGCCCCAGTTGGGGTGCAGATAAATGTGAAGAATTACTGGAGAAGACAGTGAAGAACTGCTTAGCTCTGGCAGATGAGAAGAAACTGAAATCAATTGCATTTCCTTCTATTGGAAGTGGCAGGTACGATTGGCCTCTTGAACCTTTGCAAAAGCACTGTCAGACTTTGTGTACAGCTGCATGTCTTGCTGTCATTCATGCGTGTACCTCTCATTGCCACCCGACTACCTTATTCTTGTTTTCATCCACTGTTTATTTCTCTTCTGTAGTTTCTTGCTTGTGAAATCAGCTCACTAGACTGCCATTTTCTAGAGGCCAAACCCCCCCCAGTAGCTGAGTATCTATCCCAGAACTCACCTGCTCCATCAGGGGAAGACTGTCTGTTTGCACTTTTTTATATCCTGTAATCTGCCTTCTCAGTGAGAATGGCAGACTGTTTATAAAATATAGGCCCGGGTCACACGGAGCATTTGCCACGCTAAAGAGACGGATGATAGGTGGATTTTCTGGGCGCGAAAACACCACAACATCTGGGAAGCGTAGTGCTCTTGTGGCTAACCCGTGGCTTCCCGCCGAAGATGCGGCTTAAAACCCTCCATGTCTACCCGTTCCTGCCTACCCATTGCTGCCCATTGTCACCAATGAGATCAAACATTTATCTTCATGCTCGTACCAAAAGAGATCTATCACTTTAGAGAAGAGCCAACACAACTGAATATTGGAAGGGTTTGCAGAGGGCAAACTGTATACAAAGCATGTTTGCAGAGATCATAGTCTGTAAAAAAACCACTTATAATGTTCCCTTGACAGAAGGTATTCTGTCAAGATAATACGTTGCTTTCCAAGGCTGAGATAGTCTTGTTCTTGAGATAGTCTTGTTCTTGAGTCAAAGGGAGCGGTGGCGCAGGCAGTAAAGGAAGCCTGCTTTAAAACATCTGGGCGAACAGCTCCAACTGTTCAATCCCCCACCGCGGTCAGGGTGAGCTCCTGGCCCTATGTCCCAGCTCCCGTCGACCCAGCGGTTCGAAAGCCCGTTAAAGGGCAAGTAGATAAAATGGGGACCTGCTATTAGAGCAGGGGGGCACCCACCTCAGTTGGAGCAGAGAGCGGAGAACAATGAGCGGCGGCAGAGAAAAATGGCGGCTGGCGAGACGAGGCGACGGATGAAGGAGGCTGGACCAACTAGGCACGGAGGCGGAGCGACACGGCCGGCCGGAGCCTGATTTGGATGGAGGCCGCTGCGAGCATGCGCAGAAGCACAAAGTGGTCCTGGCCTGGAGGCGGAGTTTACGACAGCCAGAGTTACGACAGCCGAGAGGTGGAACAACGAAGACCAGCGCTGAAGAAGGGTCGCCGCCGGACTGTCCCCTCACAAGGAATAAGATCTGCTACAGAACAAGGGTGCCTGGTAGGAATTTCACCTTCCCGACATACATGTGGCCCTAGATTAGGATTGTTCGGAATTAGAATTGTAAGCCGCTCAGAGCCCCTTAGGGGGGTGAGCGGGATAGAAAGTTGAAATAAATAAATAAATAAATAAATAAATAAATACTTCATATAGACAATTTGAGGGGTTTTTTTTCCAAATGACGGGGTCCTTTTAAGAAAGGAAAAGTTTTAACTTTTGTAAATATAGTAGTAAAAAAAGAAGACAAACACTAGCACTGGTGGAACTACATGGATTGGGTAAGTGGGAAAGAGGAATTTAATAATACTGAATTGGAACGGTACTTTAAATGTTAATTTGTTCCTTTGAAACATCCTATCAGTTCTGTTTGCAAGTTTTGAAAAGTAAAAAAAAAATAAGCACAAAGTTTTTTTAAGGTTAGCGTTTTCTCCCAAAGCAGCACACATACACAGCTGTTCCAGGATAGACATCTGTCAAACAGACTACTCAATAAACCTGCATAAACAGTTCCATTCACTTTTATGACTAAGGAATGGGTTTACATGGGGGTGATTCCAATAAATATCTTTTATATATTTTTCAACAGGAAGGGGGAATAGCATTTAGTGTGCCAGATGCTCTTCTAAATTTAGCTTCTACAAACCAAATTTGTGTTGGGTGGCATTTAAAAAGTTACTGCAAATTCTGTATTCCACGTGTTGAGAGCAAGTTACGGATAGTTCAGGTCTCAGTATTATACTTAATGCAGAATTTCAGCACTTCCCTTTCAGGTGCTTGGGGAGGGGGGAGGCAGAACCCAGTATCCCCATCCTGCATTGACACAGGTATGTTATTCTCACATTACCAAATTCATATAACCCCTCACCCCCATATGAGCATGGTACTGTGTATATGAAAGTATACTATGCAAAAAAGTAGTGTGCCATTGGAGAGATATTACTGCTGCCCAGACTGGATTACTTTTAATTCCCTGATATCCTTTCACAGCATAGGAGTCACTTCCTGGTAGTGGAATATCTGCAAATATATTAAAAATTAAGTCAGTTTTGGCCATCATACCATGGTGTGTGTGTGGTTTAAAAATTATTTTTAGGGTGTTTCATAACAACATACAAGAGTAGCCTAAGAGAGAAGGAACAGTGTATTTTTCACATTAAGGAGAAGTGTGAATATAATCACTTTCTTCTCTTAGGGAGAGAGAGCCTTCCACAAGAGAGGCTGAGGCTAAAGGCAGGTTTCTTCATGTTTCCTTCTCCTGTTATGACAGGGCCATGTTCTCCCTTCAGCACTTTCCCCCAAGTTAGCAGCACTCTCTAATAGCATGGCTTGCCAGAGATGGGAATAACATACCAACCACAGTTTCTTCCTCATCCTCCTTCTGGGCTTGTTACTAGTTCCTGCTGCCTTCACTGGGCCCTGATATCCAGTCCAATGGATAATATCAGGTCTGTCTCCTTTTTCCTTCTTGTGCAATGGAGGAAAGGAGGAGGTCGTCCTCCATGAGGTCTCTGTGAGACACAGTTAATCATATTTCTGGACTCATTGTTTTTTAGGCACCTGGGACTTGTGAATTTTGTTTCAAGGCTGGTTTTGTGTCAGGTATTACATTTAGGGAGGTTCCTGTGAATTCTTCAGAACGGGTGGCAACGCCCTGGCCTATATCATTGACTATATCTTTCATCTTTTGTTTCTCTCCCTATATTTTCTTACAGGAACGGTTTCCCAAAACAGACTGCTGCCCAGCTGATCCTGAAAGCCATTTCCAGCTATTTTGTGTCAACAATGTCTTCTTCAATCAAGACAGTGTATTTTGTGCTCTTTGACAGTGAGAGTATAGGGATCTATGTGCAAGAAATGGCCAAGCTAGATGCCAACTAAGACTAGGAAGCAAACAGCACCAGCCTCCTTGCCCAGCGTCCGCCCCACCCCTGCCCACATTCTTAACCCCTCCTTGTGAAACAGAGCTCCCCCTTATTTTAAATTTTGCTTATCTAAGGGAATATAGGTGGGACTTCTTTTGACTTTCTAAAACGTTTTTATGTTGGCACTGATAGTTGGCATTACTGCTGTTAATGCACTGTATTCCAGGCATTGTCTGAATTTAGTGTAATCTAGGAGATTTTATAGTTTTATTTTAATGAAGTATGGATTGATGCAGAAAGTTGTTAGCAGTACATAGTCTTTTATTCGTGAAAGAAACGGGCAGATCCTATTTTGTAACTGTGTTGTGGTGCTTTTATCAAGTGGTGTTCCTTTCTCATTTTTTTAAAAAACAGAAAAGAGGCTACGCACCTAATTTGTGTTTACTTCTTGTCTTAATGATAATTCTCAGAAGAAAAGAACCCTCTTGTCCTTAATTATATTTGCAATTTGGAATTTGTGTGAAATGATTTAGTAAAATGTTTGAAATGTTCTTGTTGGTGTTTTGAATTAATGGTTCTTAAACCTCTGATAGACATGGATCAACATCTTTCAGATGTTGAATGGAAGGACCAAAAATGCACTTGTACTGCATTATTAAATTATGAGTAAAGTAGGCATTTATTAAGTATTGACAGGTAAATTTACAGAATCTTTTCAGGTGTATTTTGCTGTAGCATTCATTAGGATATGGCACTTTAAATGCTCCACTTACTTTGTTCATTCTGTGTTCATTTTGAATCTATCTTCATTTTGGAGGCTGTGCTCCTGATCTCAGTGATGTATATATACATTCCAATGCAGTCACACACGTATCTGATACCAGGGTAATGGTATTATCTTGGAGGACCACTATTATTAAATATGGATATTTATTCCTAAATATGTTAGCCTATTCATTCCATAATTTTTCCTTAACGAAGATTTGGGCTAGAATTTTGCAATGTGAACAAATCTAATAAGCAGCCATCAGTCTTCCCGTAGGCAGATATTTTCAGTGGGATTCAAGTAACCTAAGAGACGTTCACAAGCAACCAGGACTAATGGCTGTCACCTGTTGTTCACCCTCAGCAGCCAGTGATGAGTATCAGGGTTATAAAGAATCATAGACTCATAGAGTTAGAAGGAATCTCCAGGGTCATCTAGTCCAACCCCCTGCACAATACATGAAATGCACAAATACCTCCTCCACACACACTCCCAGTGACTGCTGACCCACACCCAGAAGATGACAGAAAACCTCCAGGATCTCCAGCCAAACTGGCCTGGAGAAAAAAATTGCTTCCTGACCCCAACATGGTGATTAGCATTTCCCTGGGTGTGTTAGAAAGGGCCACAAGAACTAAGCACTGAGGCAACCCTTCCTGCTCTCCCTTCCCGTGATCTGCCTAAGTTTAGAGAACCAGCATTGCTGTCAGATGGCCATCTAGCCTCTGTTTGAAAACCTCCAAAGAAGGAGAGCCCACCACCTCCACTGAGGAACCACTCTGTCAAGAAGTTCTTCTTAATGTTTCACCAAAAACTCTTCTGATTTAATTTCAACCCGTTGGTTCCGGTCCGACCTTCTGGGGCAACAGAAAATAACTCCATACCATCCTCTATATGACAGCTCTTCAAGTACAAATCAAGGAAACACTGCATTTTATTTTTTCATGTATTAGCAGTTGAATGATTTGGGGGTATCTATTTTATTGCGTTTTTGTTTTTTACTTTGCCATTACTCTGTAGCTGAATGAAATCAGCAGAAATAATTTAAGAACCTGGGAGAAAGTAAGTACTAAAGTACCTGGGCTGTCATCCCCTTTTATTAATTTTCCCTGCAAAGTTTTTCTTTGATGGCTTATAACATTGGTTAAATAAAAATATTGCTGCAAGTGTTAACCTTTTAAACATGAACACATGAAGCTGCCTTATACTGAATCAGCCCATTGGTCCATCAAAGTCAGTATTGTCTGCTCAGACTGGCAGCAGCTCTCCAAGGTGTCAGGCAGACGTCTTTCACATCACCTACTGCTTTTAACTGGAGATGCCAGGGATTGAACCTGGGATGTTCTGCATGCCAAATAGATGTTCTACCCCTGAGCAACAGCCACTCATAAAAACAGCCCAACATAAAATCCATGTAATCAACTAATTAAAATTCTCTTAAGGGATGTATCTATTTGTTCTTGTCTTCCTATCATTAGTTGCACAAAACATTTTAAACGATACATGGAAAAGTGTAAGATGCTCCTGCATTTTATGTGTGCATTTTCCAAAATCAACACTAGATGTCAGTAAAAGGACTGCGAGAACAGGGAAACAGCACTTACTGGTTTGGAGTTTTTCCAGCCAAAGACAAAGTTTAAGTTTGTCAGCACTTTTTGTAGGGGCTTTATATCTGTGATCTTCCTAGCAAAAATGGAGAATTATATGCCTATGTTGTTTGTAAGGAAAATGCTGTGGGTGTTAGAATTTGAAACTATATCATAATATCAGATATCAAGATTGTGAAATGATTTAATGTGTTTCTCTCTCATGCGTCATTTTTACACACTAAATGAAAAACAAATGTTCTCATACAGCCCAGAATTCTGCAGTTGTAGTTCATATAGCATAAAAAGCAAGATAGTGTATATTTTGACAAATATATGTCTTTCGGTTGCTACAATGGTGATTCAAAAGGAAGGAGGGGAAGGGCACAAACTAATAATTTCAAACTTTCTAGTAGATGACATTTTTAGAAAAGTCCACATGTCCAAGCTCTGCTCCTTTCTCTGGGCACAGACATTTATGTATCTCTGTCTGTCTGTCTGTCTGTCTGTCAGTCTCCATTTCCCAGGCACACAATTAAGTAGAATTTTGCACAGCATATAAACAGGCATTTGGTTCAGGACCTCTTCATGTATTATTATTTTTTACATATATA